ATTTTTTATCTTCACTTGTTGAAATTCGTAGCAATTTACAAATAGCTTATTGTTTAACACTTGTTATGTTAATCCTTGTTGAAATTTGTAGCAATTTACAAGATAACGTTAAAGCCGACATATGATCATCTGTTGAAATTTGCAGCAATTTACAGGTTGAGGAAAAAGCTAAGTATGATGTTTAAACACTTGTTGAAATTCGTAGCAATTTACAAATAGCTTATTGTTTAACACTTGTTATGTTAATCCTTGTTGAAATTTGTAGCAATTTACAAGTAGGCTAGATCGAAATCACCGTTTAAACACTTGTTGAAACTTGAGAAAAAGTTTCAAAGTTAACATTGAGTAGTATATGTTTCACACTTGTTAGAATTTATGAAAAGTTTGCAGGTCAGTATCTTGCCGAAGTAAAAGTTTTGTAGCTATTATACCCGAGGTATGTAACCCCGAGAAGATTGCGCAAAGGAGGCAAAGTATGAAAGGCATACAAAATATTCTAAGTATAAAATCATGCAAGAGCAGTTAGAAGAAGATCAAAATAGAATTCGTCGTGATTGACATGCCTTCACCTTACAACATCATCTTGGGAAGGCCATGGTTGCATGCAATGGGGGCAATTCCCTCAACGTTGCATCAACTACTGCGGTTCCCAACAGAACATGGGATTGAAGAAGTCAGAGGGGATCAACTGCAGGCGGAGAATTGCTCCATGGCAGCAATGAAATCCACCTACAGCATTCGAGAACCAGAGAAGGCAGAGATTGAAAACGACGACATAGAGGTCCTAAATGATGTCAGCAAGGAGCTAGCCGAGAAGAGTAAAGAGGCACTGAAAATCCTCGTCCAGGAGGGGGATGAAGAACGCTTCTTTCTTCTCAACTCAGGCTTAGCCGAAGAAGAAGAAAGAGAATTGGAAGCTTTTTTGAGAGCAAACATTGAGATGTTTGCTTGGACACCTTACGAAATGCATGGCATTGACCCCGAGGTCACTTGCCACCAACTGAACATCGACAGGTCGGCCAAACCTGTAATCCAACGAGCAAGAGGACCGATGTTGATACACGTCGAAGCAATAGAGGAAGAAATAGACAGACTTCTGGAGACCAGGGCCATTTGAGAAGTCAATTACCCGACATGGCTATCAAATACAGTGGAAGAAGGAATGATAATCAAGGAGCAAGGAATGTTAACATCGGCCAACAACAGACATTTTTCAGAAGCAAAAAAGGTGACATATGCAAAGAAAACAAAAGTACAAAGATGAAGATCCTAAGAACTAGAGACTAAGGCAAGAACGTTGGACTAATCTACTTCAAACGGTTGACGGTGGTTCAGCATTGGCAGTCAGCTGGAAGAGCTTCTCTACCACTATCTCGGCAACAATTTCAAGAAGGGACGTGGTTCTAAGACTATGCAGAAAACAGAAACAAAGGCAAGAATCTGGAAATACAACAAGAAAAACAAAAAAGAGAAAAATCAGAGTCAAGAATATGACAAAATTCAAAGAATAAAGCCAAATACACAGGCACTAAGTAAGTATGTGAAGAACAAGAAAGTAATGACCCAGACACGATGCTAGCAACAGAAAGCGGATATGACAAGAACAGTGCTAGGCATTCAAACAATTCAAAACTTGAAGACAGACGAAAATAGAAGGCAACATATGGCAAGTAAACAGATTCAGAAGAGTTATGAAAGATTGAGCTTAATAGCAAATAAAGAGTTTATGAACCTACAAAGTGAAATGAACGCCGATATTAAAATCGTCGGAGTCAAATAGGTGACTGGAAATCAGGAAACTCACTAGAGAGTGTGAGTGGAGCAGTTGCAAAGCTCTTGGAGTTTACGAATTAATGGAACCAGAACCTCGGCTAGGAGATGCGATCTCAAGTAGCTTGGAAGGCATAAATCTTGATACTTGACACAAGTGGACAGTAAAGTCCAGGGAACTTTGAAGTCGGCAAGTTTGATCTCGGACTGAGGAGCACGAATGAACGAACAGTATAGGTTCCATCACCTCAGAATGCCGAGGTAATAGAACCTAGGGGGGCAGTTGTGGGGATATATTTTCTAAGTACCAACACGTGGCCAAGGTGACGCCGACGTGTCAGCCGAGGTGCCACGTGTCTTGGTCGTGACGCCGAGGTGATCTCGGCAAGGCCGAGGTTATCTTCGAAGATATCAGAATCCGAGATAAGCGGATAAGCACAAGCAGTCCGTCCTTAGAATCCGATATGCACCATCAAAAGAAAAGAGTCCTAGAATGAGAGAAGACTTCAGTTTAGGTAAAGATAAGACTCTTAGAGAATTATCCCAATCCTATTGGGAGTCTAAGATTAGCAGTAATCCTAAGTCCAATGGAGCTAGGCTTCTATTGAGACTGGGATTGTATTGGCTATAAAAGGGAGGCACCCCCATGGGTCTAAGGTATGATTTTGATACTCAAGCTTGTGAGTTTAGTACTTGATTTATCTTTGAGAGATATACTGACTTGATCGTCGGAGTGCCCCCAGGATGTCGAAACCACCGCGGGATTCTTATATTTCTGTTGCAGGTCAGTCAAGTGTCATCTATTCTGTCAGTGCTCTCCAGCTGGTTACTAAGCGGGCAGTGTGGTCGAAAAATCACCCACACACCTTGGAAAGCTTGAGCTTGAATGCCAGAGCGGAGTCACCAAAGTTTTGTTGCATGACTTTTGTCAGCTTCTCCACCATGAATGGGGTTAGGTGGTTCACCCAATCACCCACCTCACCTTTCTTGAAAAGGCTTTCATTTTCAAAGTTTAAAACAGCTCATTTCCCTGTCTTGTTCACCTCCAACTCCTTCAAGCTCTGGAAGCTACACAGCCTTGATATCTCCTCAGCCACCCCTTCTCTCTCCTCCTCTAATGAAAATGGGTATCCCAAAAACTCAGCCAACTTCCTCACATAAAACCCCGTGTCTTCTTTCATATCCTCGTACATCAAGAACAACACCTTGTGGGGTCTCTCTATGCTCTCTTTCCAGTACCCTAGCATATGGTCCCAGTAAGGTCCATACCCTATAACACCCCTACAATACATGTCGAAAGCTTCCTGCATCGAAAGGGGTCCCAGACTCGCAGGTCTCGCTCTCATGAGGAAATGCCAGACGGAGATGAAAGTATCGAATGGGTTGCGACACAGGTACACAACCCGGCACCCACTGTCGTTGTTATTGTTGCCGGACTTTTTGACAGAGTCCGGCAACGAAGCATACGGCACATGGGTGCCGAAAAGTCTAGGGTTACAGGACCTTGTGGAGGAAGACAGGTCAGGGACATGGTTGTAATTCGCATAGACCTTGTACTCGAGGAAAGGTACAAGGTCATGTGGGTTGGAGGTGAGCAAAGGATGGTTTTTTGGGCCAAAACGCTTGCGATTGACAATAGCAAATGCGAGGGCTTTCAACCATGTTGTTCCGAATTTTGGGATAATGGTTAGTATGATGTCACTGTCTTGGGCTTGGAAGTGTCTTTGGCATGAGATTATGGCTTGAATCTCCTTTGCTTGGCACCAAAAGTTTTGGAACCAATAGAGGTGATTGGTTCTCCAACCTTTCTCTTTTGGAAGTGAGAGAAGCAATTGCTTGGACTCATTGCTTAGCTCTTCTTCTGCTTCTTCTCCTCCTCCTCTAGATTGGTTTTCAATCAACTGAGTCATAGTCATAGTGTTTGGGTGGGTTTTTGTGGGTGAAGGTTGGCATAAAAACTAGATTAGTCACGCCTACTTATATAGAGTATCTATCTACTGTTTGCTCGCCATTCATTTTTATTTTTTTCTCCAGATCCACACGTTGAGCACATGCCGGAGACATTAATGGAAAATTATACAATAATTTCAGAGTAACACGTAGTTATATTTGTCACTAATCACCATTTATTATGTATTTTATATTTTTTAATTATTTAATATAAATAATTAATATTACCCTTTCTTTATCAATCATATCACCATGAAACACGTGGTCATACTCTAATCGCCGATGTTAACACATCTCATGAATTTAAAATATATCTCATGAATTTAACACTTTTCACATGCTAATTGAAGGAAAATGCTATTTTTATATAAAATGCATACCAAAAAATCATCTCATGAATTTAAATATATATATATATATATATATTGGTTGTCAATCTGATTTTGATATCTTTGTGAGTGATTTGATTTTAATTGAATAATTTATGTTGACTCACATTATTATATAAATTAATTAAATCATGCACAAAGACTACGCATCCACAATTTATATTCAAAATTTATCCAAAAAATTTAATTTTTAATTTAAATTTATTTTATATATGGGCTGATATTTTACCAATTTAAAATCTACTACATAAACTGATTTGCAGAGAAATTTGAATTAATAGAATTACTCTTCAATCATGTGTCGAGAAATTGATCAAGAGTTACGTATGAAACATGCATTCAATATTTTGTTAAGAATAATATTAAGAATCATGAAAAAAATATCATGAAATATTTCATGAAATTTTTTTATCCTTTGATTAGTGTGTGGTGTTTTATTGTATTTGTAATCCAAGGGTGTAGAATCTTTCATGATTATTTTCATGATTCTTAGCATTATTCGTTAAAAAATGTATAATTTTATAAATATAAATACTAACAATACAATAAATGATTGTTAATATATAATAAAGATTAATAAATATTATTTTTTAACAAACCTACTAACAAAGTTTTTAAAATAACATTTAAAGTAATCAAGTATATCATTTAAAAAAAGGGTAATTCTATCTACACATCACTAATCATTTCAATACACACCATTTCTTAGTACACACACATAATAATTTTTAGAATTTTAAAATATCTTAGTTCATACATTTTTTTTTTTTTTATCAGCAAAAGAATTACACTTTATTGATGAAACTGCTTATGTTCATATGAGAATTACATCAATAAAAAAGGAGGAAGTGCAACAAACATTATAGTTTGGCACTAAAAATACTACACAATCATATGCTAGCATCAACCTCAAAGTTGGTGAGAAACCAACAAAAACAAAACAACAAAACCAATCTAAACAATGATCCAAACTGGTGCAGAGCACCGCAGCCACCATTCATGCCTTAATGTAGTAAGTGCCTTACCTATTTCAAATTAGCCACAACAGCATGCACTGAGTATTGAAACTCACCAGTATATACTTTAATCCACAAGGCAACTCTAGTCTTAATCAGTTCACAAATCTCCTCCAATGTAGGTTGTTTTCTATTGAATATGGGCTTATTCCGCAACTTCCAAATGGACCATAGGACTACCAATGGAAGTGCATCCCAGATTTTACTTTCAAGCTTTCTCCATTTATACCCTCTCCACTAATCCAACACACCTTCAGGCTTTTCAGGGGTCACCCAATCCAGATCCCACCAGTTTAGAATGTTTGTCCAAATCTTCCAAACAAATGGGCACAGCAGCACGACATGACAAATTGTTTCTACAAAATGCACAATTTGTCATGGCCTCATGACTGAGACACCCCACTCTTTAAAGGAAAACTCTTGATTTGATTCTACCCTTCCAAGCAAGCCATCCAAAGAATTGAATTTTTGGTGGGGAAATGTTGTTCCATATTAACCTAGATGTCCCCAAACTCTACCCCACACTATTTCTATTATAAGCTAAATTAACAGTAAACATACCTGAAGATGAGGCCTTCCAAGCCAATGAATCAGCCTTATCTGACAAAAATGGCTCGTGTGTGGTACGGTAGGACCTTAGTCTTTCCACTTCATCTTCCTCACAAAGCCCTAAGTATTCTCCTAAAAATCAAATTCCATCCGGTTGAGCAACTTCTCCTTTCAATCATCTGTTAAAGAGTGGCTTCTTTTTCTAATGATAACTCATATAATCTGGGAAAGTCATCCTTCAAGCAACTGTTGGTAGGCCAATGATCCTCCCAAAATCTAACCCTCATCACATTCCTTACTTGAATGACAGAATTCTCCATAAAGAAGCAAAAAAGATTATGATTGCTATGTTCCAATCTGAGGATATCACCCCAAATTCTTGAGCACTGAGCACTGTTATCAGAAAATAGTATCCATCTCCCACCTGAGCTACTATATTTACTAATCAAAATATCTTTCCACAATGCTTGATCTTTACCTCCCATATCTCCACCATCATTTGGCCAATAAACAATCATTAACAAATTTACAATCTTTTAATCCCCAAACCTCCAAAGCTCTTCTTGTCGGTGACCTCCTCCCATTTTACTAGATGAAGCTTCTTTTTAACATTTGAGCCTCCCCACAAAAACCTAGCCTGAATTTTGTCAAGCAACTTAGCTACACTTCCAGGCAATTTAAAAATGGAAAGGTAATACACTACTAATGAAGACAAAACTACTTTGACCAGTGTCAACTCCAAATCAAAGAAATTTTCTCTTCCAAAAAGTCAGCATAGACTTGAATTCGTTGATCACAGGCATCCATGTACTCTTCTTTTTTGGACTGGACCAAATGGCAAACCAAATGGCATACAGTTTAGTTTTTCTGCAAAGTCATTGACAACATCTTCCTATACACCTACACTACAGACTTTACTTTTATGAAAATTAATCGTCAAGCTAGAAAGCCCTTCAAAGCACCTCAAAATTCTTTTAACATTCAAAGTATCTTGCTCATCAGCCTCACAGAACACAATTGTATTATCCGCCAATTGCAAATGAGTGTCATTAAACTCCGTAAGTCCTATCATAGCCCTTTTGATTAGCCCCAGTGATTTAGCTCTTTGGAATAACATATTCAAACCTTCAGCCACTATGATAAAGAGAAAGGGTGACAATGGGTCCCCTTGTCTGAGGCTTTTTTCTAGACAGAATTCAGTAGTAGGAGAGCCATTTACAAGAATTGAAACTCTAGCTGATTGTAGGCATTCCTTCATCCACCTAATCCATTTGTCCTAAAAACCAAAACTTGACATCGTGGCAAAGAGGCACTCCCAATTTACCGTATCATACGCTTTTTCGAAATCCAGTTTCAGGATCACCTTCTTCTTTTTCTTCTTCCACTAATCCACTACTTCATTAGATACTAACACCACATCCAATATGTTCTTTTCACCAATGAAAGTAGATTGAGATTCTCCTATCATTTTAGGCAAAACCTTTGTGATTCTAAAAGCTAAAACCTTATAAAAAATTTTGTAATGAGAACCGATGAGGCTGATTGGTTTGTAATATGAAATACCACCTGGGCTATCATTCTTAGGGATTGGTGCTATGAAAGAATTGTTAATACATTTAGCTAAACACCCATTATCATGAAAGTCCTTGAAGAATTGCAAAATATCCCTTTTAAACACTTTCCAACATTTTTGAAAACAAGGCATGTTGAAGCCACCTCTTTCACAGCTCTCAAAATTTCCTCTTCTGAAAATGGTGCAACTAGCCCATCAGATTCATTATCATGACCAATGGACCAGAAGAAACCATGAAGCTTGGGTCTATATTTCAATTCTTCTGAGAATCTCCTTCTGAAATGATTAAACACCTCATGCTTGACCTTTTTTGGATCTTCATTAAGCTCTTCATCTACTTCGATTGAGTTCAACAAATTTCTATTTTGTCTGCTAGTGGCTATAACATGAAAGAATCTAGTGTTTTTGTCCCCTTTTAAGCTCCAATTCAATCTGGACTTCTGCCTCCCCATCCATTCCTCTCTTTTGCTTAGTGACCATACTGCTTTTCTAACTTCTCTTCTTCTTTTAACCTTATCCTCCTCAAAGCTTCTAAATTCAGCCACTAGATCAATGGCATGAAGCTCTTCCTCTGCTGCCTTCAATGCATGAGTAACATTTCCAAAAACCTCTATATTCCATTTTTTCAATACTGAATGCCAAGTCTTGAGTTTGTTCATTATGACAAAGCTTGCCCAACCGGTAATTGTGGTATCTTCCCAAGATTTCTTCACATGTTCTTCGACTTTTGGATGAAAAGTCCAAGCATTTATAAAGAGAAATGGCCTTGTACCCGAGTCCCTACCATCCTCTAACAATAGCAGAGGGCAATGGTCAGATATACTTCTTTCCAAAACCCATAATTTTAAGTTTAACCTTTCCAGCCACTTAGTTGACATGAGTACTCTATCAATCCTACTCCAAATTTTCTCCTTCATTAGAATTACACCATGTGAATTGTCTACCCATCATGGGTAAATCAATGAGCTCCAAATTTTCTATGAATAGATTAAACACCTTTATCCCTCTATCTCTTCTAGAGCAATTCCTTATTTCCCCAAGTTTTCTGATTTCATTAAAATCACCAGCTAAACACCAGGGATCATAGAACATAGTTTTCAAGCTAGCTAATACATTCCAAAATCTACTTCTCATATTTACTTGATTTGGTGCATGGGTATTGACAAGTACACAATTAAAATTTGGAAAAAAAAAGTACTTGAAAGTACAATGCAATGCCTTGTACTTCAACATTGGGAGAGTCTAAACACAGTTGGCTTCCAAATGCACAAAAGTCCACCTACCCTACCTTCAAAATTGACTACCATGCATTCCATATCATCATTAGGCCATAATGATTTAATGAAATTTGGTGTAACATCAGTTTTCTTTCTCTTGGAAAAAAGGAAAATCAATTTTCCAATCTTTGAGTAGTAACTTTACCTTCCTCCTCTCCTCATCTCTTCAACTTTGCCCAAACCCCTAATATTCCACGATAAGAACTTCATTGAGACACAAAACACATCACCTGAATCCACCTAGCACTATCAATCAGCTTTGCATAATATCTCTCATTTGTGTATCTGCATCTGTGGTGCTGCATTTTCTTTATTTTCAACTTCCATAGCTTCTAAATCTTTAGTCACCTCCCCTTCCTTTCCATCGAAGCATATGCCTAGTGTTTTGACCATACAAATTGTTGCTTCTGTCTTCTTCTGCAGTGCCTTGTCTTTACTTATGCTTTTCCCATTTGAATCTGATATTACTATTGACCCAAACTTTTCTTTACTTGCGCCTTTCCCATTTGAATCCGATCTTGCTAATGACCCATGTTTTGCTCTAAACATAGCACCTCTGCTCCAGTTTCAAATAGCCGATGCACTTCCTTTCCTATCCCTTCTTCTTCCACTTACTCTTATGTGTTTATCCAACGAATTTCTACTGGCTACAGTGCTGCCATTCCTCCCAATTAGTTTTTTCCTCTATTTTACTTCCCCCTTTTTCCCAGATGTGTTGCTTAGACCATAGGTGGGTTTAATAAATAGTGATAATGACCTAATATCCTAGGCCTATGACACCTCATTAACCAAGCCCACACTGCCTAAGTTACTCCTGCTAACAATGGACCCAACTACTGGCCCATTCGATTTCAAGCTGGTGTAACAATGGAGATCTCATGATTAGATGCCTGGTATTCAAGCAAAGAGGGTTCCCTGGAAGGCCCAGCTACATCTATCGTGTGGGGCCTTTGTCGAAGGTGTTGCATTCCAGAAGTTATTCTTAGATGTATGCAGGTAGGCGACAATGCTACGTAGCTCAAATTTTGTGGCTCAAAAGTGGCTCAAATGGCCAAAACGACGTCGTTTTGAGTACAGAACAACACAAAAATGGCCAAAATGACGTCGTTTTGGCCATTTGAGCCACTTTTGAGCCACAAAATTTGAGCTACGTAGCATTGTCGCCTAATTTTTTTTATAAATTGGGGCTTTTATTTTTTATATTTTTATTCTTAGTAAATATTTTTAAAATTTTAAGAATTTTTTTTACTTTTTTAAATACATCTTATTTAGATGTATCTACATAATAAAATATTTGTAAAAAATATTTCAAAAAATTAATAAATAAGTAAAAATATGAAAAATATATTGAATTTGTGTTTTTTTTTTAATATTTTTGGTGTTGAATGAATTGTTTAATTTTTTTTTTCATAAATATTATATTTTTTAAGTATAGATATGTCTAAAAAATAAAAAATATTAAAAAATAAAAAAGTAATTTTTTTTTAAAAGTGATTTCTAAAAATAAAACTAAACTGTGTGAATATGATGGTTCTCTTCTTGACAATTTGCGACATTTTTTGTTGCTGTCATTTTCCAAATCGCTCTGGCTTGGCCGTCCGGCCGACAAAGTTTGGTTTTATTTTGGTAATTTAAAATTTAGATAAATTACAAATACATCTCTTAAAATTTGATTAAAATATAAATCATACCTCATGATTTTAGAAATTATATTTTAACCCGTGAAATTTTTAATTTCGTAACAAATTGTCACTTTTATTAATAAATCATGAAATCAATTAACAGTTTTTAATGATATTAGAAATATGTTTCAATTAATAATTTATGTAATTTTATTATTGTGTTTGAGAACAATTATGAATTTTATTTTTTATTTAATTCTATTAAATAAGGGTTATTCTACAATATATATATATATATATATATATTTGTGTATTATATGTAGGGCTACAAATGAATCAAGTTGCTCGTGAAGTAGCTCGGCTTGACTTATTAAGAGCTCACTCGGCTTAGCTCGTTTAGTAAATGAGCCAAGCTCGAGTTTGAATATTAGGCTTGTTTAGTAAACATGTCAAGCTCAGGCACAATTAAGCCCGGCGCATCAAGTTCGGCTCATTTATTTCTATTTAAATTATATAATAAATATATTATTTATATATTAAATAATAGTATAAATACATTATTTATGTATTAAATAATATAAATAATATAAAATAAATCTTATTAAACTGAAACCGAGTTCGAGTTTTATTAATATTAACGAGTCGACCTCGAGCTAGTTATTTATCGAGCCGAGATCGAACTGAATAAACGAACCGAGCTCGATCTCAGTTTCAGCAAAACTCGGCTCGACTCTTTTACCGCCCTAATCATATACAAGACATTTGTGGTATTTATAAATATCAAAACTAAATCATCTCAGTCATAATTAAAAAAAATAAACAAAATAAAACAAAACAAAACAAACAAACAATAAGTCATAACCAAATATTACTTAAGATATAACTAAATATTTTTCTGATCATAATCAAAATAATAATTTCAATATGACAATAAGTTATAACCAACCAAACACCACTTGAGGCATACTCGTTTCGGAACAGGCTTTTTTAGTAATTTTTTTGACTAAAATATGATATAAAAAAAACTTGTATGTTTACAAATAACTTTTTAACTTTTTACGAAAAGATGTACAACAAAACAATATAAATAAAGTAAAAAAAAGTAAATTGACATTTTTGCCTTTCAATATTGTTGTTCAATCCATGACCATATGACTTCACCTGACATGCTGTCAAGTGAAACGATGCAGTAGAAATTATTGCAGCATGTCAGCTATATAGGCTTAGGTGATATGGGGAAATGAACACATATTGCTACTTTGACCCATTTTTTATGTAATTTTTTTTTTACAAAATGGACTTCACTAATTTTGTAATTCAGAAAAAAAAAAGTCGTACAAAAAA